AGCTATGCTCTTTTCTAACAGGTGTAAGCTCTCTTGCGCAAGACACCCTCTCTTCCCACGCCGTACTGTAAATTTCCTTGCACAAGAGCAGGCGGGCAGTGTGGATGCTCTGTGGGTTCCTGCACAAGAACGGCCGTACTTGCACAAGAAGCCATGAGTGTAGACATAGTCTTAGAGGGAACACTTCCCCCAGCCTCTCTGCCCCCGAGTTAATGTCACACACATTGGGTTAATGCAATTGCAGGATAGTTGCATGAGGGGGGTTTGGTGGGGGCCAAACTAATCCCTGTTGGCAGGAGGATGGTGGGAAAAGCCCTTCAAGAAGGGTGACATGACACCTTTTACTTCTGGTCATGTGTCCATCTTGCCCCAAGCGTGTTACTTCCAGAGGCGTGGCTAATGGGGGGCAGAGGGCGTGGCTAATGGAGCACCACCAAAAATTATACAAACCTGCCTCCCATGAGAAATTAGAATTTTGCTGGCTTCACTTATATGGATACACTGACCATATGTCCCGGATTTTAAATATTTTGTCCCAGTGTCCCTATCAGCTAGTAAAATGTCCCAGAAAGCCCAGCTGGATCTGGCTTGTGGGGAAGAAGCAAGCCAGAAATGGCTCAGTGCATTGCCATTTCACTTCCTCCATCAGGCAGAGCCTTGCAGAGACTCACCCAGAGCATGGCGCAGCAGCAATGGTCACCCCCACCCCTCGCCAAGCACACAGATGGCTCTGTTGGTGCTTTGCCAGCAGGCAGCCAGGTTGGCTTCCAGTGACGTGTGGTTTCTAGAGTCACGAGCATTCTCCAAGTACCAGCACTGCCTGGCAAGCTGCCGCCACTCCATCACCCAGTGCATCTGCCCCACCACTACGTGCCGCATGGCCTCCCCCTGCAGGACTGCCTCTGCCACACAGGACCCAGGTCTGGCTGCGCCACCTCCTCCTCCATCTGCAGGTGGCTGCTTGTTACAATAGCTGCTGCTGCCGCCGCCAGGGCAGGAGGGCACCAAGAGGGTCCAAAGCAAAACCTGGTGGAGCCACTCCCAGACCTCGGTTCCTTGGAGCTGTTGCTTCAGTCCCAGGAGGGGCCGTGCGAGCCCAGCTGGGGTGCTGTGGGGTGGGACACACTTAGGCTCGGCAGGTGTGCTCCGTGCACTGCCAGTCTCTCTCCCCCTGCCCCTCCCCACCTTGCTGGGGGAGCAGCAGTGCTAGCTTTGCTGCTCTCTATGAGCCCGGTCTGGTGGGGAAGGTTGGGGCTTTCTGTACACACACACTCCCGCACGTCCTCTGAGTGGAAAGCTGGAGCTGGTGCTGAGGCCATGTGGCTGTGCAGGCTCCACTTGTGTGGGGGAAAGGAGGGCTGAGCTCCCTCCTCTTCCCTCTCTCCACCCCACTGGGGGCAATGGCAGTGCGCTGTCTGGAAGCTTTTCCCACTGTAAGGGGGCAGGAAGCAAGGTAAGCTTCCCCTCTCATGCCCATACCCCAATCCCCCTCACTCACTCCCCTTCCCCCTCCAAAGTCCCCACACCTCAGCTTGCTCCGACATCCTCCCCCCCAGCCAGACACGTACCCCACCCTACTCCTGCATCCACCATTGCTCCTGCACCCTCCCTCCTGACTACACACCAAACCCTCCCTTGCTTCTGCTCCCTACACCAGGCCAATCACCTTACTCTCAGTCTACTTCTGCAACCTACCTCAAAACCTCTTCCCCTTCTGCCCCTCTCCTCCCTCCCAGATCCTGCACTCCATCCCTATTCCACTCGCTGGCAGCCAGGCTCCCACACTGAACCCCTCATTTTTGTCCCTACCTCAGACCCTAAGGGGGTTGATAAAATCCACTAATTCCGGAACCCCAAAAAAGTAAATCTGGCCTACGGGAAGCTCTGAACCTCAGTCCTCTCTGTCCCTTCCCTTCGACCTGTGGGGCTGGAACACCAGAGGAGTGAAGTGTCTCAGCTGGGGTTGGGATTTTTGGAGGAGACTTTTGCTTTTTACTTCTGTGGTCCTCAACTGATTTTTCTGTGGGTCAGTGGCCCCTGACCAAAAAGATTCCCCACCCATGCCATAAATAAAGAAAACATTGAAACCTTTTGTGTTGGATATAAATTAATATTTTACTTTATTTAAAACGAAGTTTGATAAACTAACATGAAAGTTAAAACGCTTAGTCTGTTTAATAGTTTAAATTAAACTATTCTGTCTAGTTGCAGCACTAGCAGAATGGCTCGGGCTTACTTATGTAATTAATGGTGAATTTCCATTAGCAACTGGTGGTCCGTGGAAAAGTTTACACTGAACCAGGTGGTTCATGGGCAAAAAAATTGAGAACTACTGAAACAGAGACATGCCTGGCCTCTCCCCGCGAGAGACCGATCTCTGTTCCCTGCTGCTCCACAAGAGCCCACAAAGAGATCGGGTCTGTTACCACAGCACTGAAATTACCATGTTACTCTGGTATGTATGGACAGACTCTTTGTGAGTCTTCCTCATCCAAGCAGTTGATGCTTTAAACAGCATGTTAAGATGCCATGTGAAAACACTTGGTGCATTCACAGGGAGGCAGGATGTATCATCTCTCTCCAGAAAGAGTTGTCATGATTTGTGTGTATGGGTAAACAAGCTCTTTACAAGGTCTGTGAAGAGGTGAGATGTTTTGACTTCCAGTTTCAAGGGGTTTGACTTCCAGTTTTGACTTCCAGTTCTTCTGTCTTTGGGCTGCACCTGAATGAAGTTAGCTGTGACAATGTGGCTGTCTCTACATTGGCAAGACAAAATCTTGCCACCTGTCTACACTGGCCGCGAGTATTTGTGCAAGAACACTGACTTTCTAACGTACGAAATCAGTGCTTCTTGCACAAATACTCTGACGCTCCTGCGCAAGTATTCTTGCACAAGAGGCCAGTGTAGACAGGCAACATTAATTTCTTGTGCAAGAAAGCCCGATGGCTAAAATGGCCATCGGAGCTTTCTTGCGCAAGAGAGCCTCTACACTGGCACGGATGCTTTTGTGCAAAAGCACATGCAGGCGTAGACGCTCTCTTGCACAAATACTTTTAACAGCAAAACTTTTCTGTTAAAAGTATTTGCGCAAAATCATGCCAGTGTAGACGCAGCCTGCATGTCTTAGTTATTCTGACACACAAAGTAAAACCTATGCTAAAAACCTCCACATCTTGTGAGAAAAAGCCCTGCTGTCAGAAGAAGTCAATTCAAAGTCTCTCCTATTTTCTTCAAAGATTGCCTCTACCAGGCACTGGGGCTTTTACTGATTGGTCCCTTACATTTTTGAAGGGTGACTAAATGTGAACTGGATCTTCTTGGGTAATATGAACAGATTGCTTTGGGCCCAATCCTAGCCTAGAGTTTAAATTGGATCAGGCCCTTTGTAAGTAGGTTGGGAAGTGGTCTCATTTGGCACTTATTGTTAGGTATTATCATATATATAGTATCATAAGGGCTCTTTCAAAAAAGAGTTTTTTCCCGAAATTTGGCCCAGTGTAGAAGGGCAAATTTTGGAAAAGCCTCTTCTGAAAGAACAATTGGAAAAAGGTATGCAAATTGCACTTTGCAATTTGTGTATCTTTTTCCGATAAAGTCCTGTAGTGTAGACATAGACCTAGGCACTTAAGCTACCTGATTCCAGGAGAGAGGGTCCTATCTGTGGATCACAAAGCAGAAAGAGACATTTCACTGTAGCTCAGGATATCTATTACCTTGAGAGGGGCAGGGGCTTAGTGCACACATTCCTTTCATTGGCATCTCCCATTGGCTAGTTTAGGAAACTCCGAGCCCCACATACTGGACAATTTTGGATCACATTGCAATGTGCCTCTCTCTCCCCGTTCATTCTTTAGAGAGTTTAACATAGACTTTGTGGAGCAAATGTTGTTCCTGTGTTTTTTTTTAAGGGTGCCTAAATATTGGGCCTAAATTACCAGGAAAGGAAGGGAAAAGTTCAGAGTTGCTCCTTTTCAAGCCCATAATTATGACTGCAACATTTTATGACTATACTGTCTTATTGCTTCCATTTGCAATTGTGAGAGGGCTTTTGGGAGTGTCATCCCTGTGAATGTGGTAGGATGAAAAACTCCTTTCCCACCACTTATAAAAAAGGTTTTCAAATACTAACTGTAAAGCAGTTGTGCTAAATCCTGATCACACATACTTGAATAATGCCTAGTTACACTTCTAGCCCGGGGTGGGCAAAAGGGCATGTGCGGATTGCATCTGGCCTGACAAGTGGGTTGATCCAGCCTGGGGAGGTCCTGCTGCTCTCCTGTGCCAGGCCA